CTCTTGCATATCCTAGTTCAGCTGATTTTTTATAATAAAAAAATGTTATTTCTTTATTTACTTTAACATCTTCTCCATGTTCATAAGATAAATCAGTTAAAAAATTGCCTTTAGAATAACCTAAACTAGCAGATAATATAAAATAAATTACTGCTTGATGAATATCTTTATTAACTCCTAATTCAAATCTATAACAATATCCTGTTTGAAATATTTCTTCAATATTATTTAAATAAGCTGCTTTTTTGTAATATTTAAATCTTTTGATTTTAAATTTTTCAAATTTTGCAAGAACAATTAAAGCTTTAAAATTTTCTTAATTGTTTAAACAATAATCGATAACTTTTTTAAAATCATAATTATTTTTTTTTAAAAAATTTTTTAATATTTGAGTAGTTGGTTCTTTATAAATTAAATCATATAATTTATTAATGATTTTATTCATCTTTATATATAAAAAAACCTATTTAGTCTTTTAGACTAGATAGAAAATTTATTTAATAAATTTTATTGTTAAAAATATAATGTTAATTTAACTAAATTTATAAAACTTAAACTAAATCTCAATGATTTTCAAAATAAACTATTACCAAAATTATCAATGCTATTTTTTACATGTTCTTTTGAAAAAAATAATAATATTTCATGACATAATAGACAAGTAGTATGAGCATAATACCTATATACTTGATCTAAATAAATTAATAAAGAAGGAATTATTTTTTGAATATAAGAACAGAAAGTCTGACAATTATAATCTGGATCAAATAAATAATCATTCTTTGCACAATAAGTAAAAAGTAAACATCAATCACAATAATCTTTCTCAAAAGTTGGAAATAAATAAGATTGAAATAAATGGAATCTATTTGAAAATGTTGTTTTTTCTTTCCAAAATTTATTATATTCATTTAAATTAAACTTTAAATTATTGAAATATATGTATATCATATTATCTTTATATTTTGTATAAAATAATAAAATGGTAGGAAGATCATGAGTAAGAAGTTTCTTTTCAACTAAATAATATTTTAATCCATGTTCTTTATGAATTAATTTACAGAGATAGCATCATAATACACAAACTTCTTTTAATTGATAATATTTATCATCAGTTATGTAAATCTTTTGAGGTAAATAAAGATAAAATATTTTTAATAAGATTTCATTAGAGACTAAAATCATTGTAATAAAGATTATATATTAAAAAATCTATCTGGTTTAAAACTAGATAGATTATACAAATAATATAAATACTAAATATAAAACTATTGTTTAATTATAATAATATTAGAAATAATATGTTTACAAATAATAAGTTCTAAATAATTAATAAAATTATTTTTTGATGATTTAAATAATTTTTCTTTAAGATTTACAATTTCTTCTTCATATTGTACTAAAATTTGATTATAATTAGAATCACTATTACAACATTGATTAATAGTAATATCAATTTGAAAACTTAATAAATTTTTATAATCTTTAGTAAGATCTTTATTATAATTTAAACTATATAATATAGTTCGATAAATTGACAAGAACAAAATTTTTTTTTTACTTTCTTTAATTAATTCTTTTATTTCACAATCATATATATAATTCTCTTATTTCACAATCATATATATAATTTATATTAGTGTTTGAATTTTTACTATCAAAATCCATTTTAAAAGTTAAAAATTTTTAATTTACCAAAAATAAAAAATATTCAGTTTATTAAACTGAATATTTAGTATACAATAATATAATCCTTAATATCAAAAAAATATTATAATAATATATTAAAAAATTGGTAATATAAATTAAAATCACATTTCTTATTACATTGTTTAAAATTAAGACAATCTTCATATAAGACAGCTTTGTTTATAAACTTGACATATTCAGGATAAATAATATCAATTTGATCACTATATAAATTATAAACTTGTTTTAAATATTCAGTTGAACATGTTACATCTTTTCTATTTCTTTGTTTTTTATGATTATTTGTTGTCTTAAAAGATGGTTAAACAAAAACAACTTTATAAAAATCAAGTTGATCTGTTTTATTAACTTTATGATCAACATATTTTCTTTTTTCTTCTCCATCAGTAAAGTTATTGAATATTTTTACATCTCTAATAGTATAATCTTCAATGATATAATCATAATTCTTTAAAGTACTAATATGCAATGCTTTTTGCTTGTAAATATTAATAATCATATATTGAATGAACAAAAAATTTTTTGATTTATAAAACAATTTGAGTTCTTCAGTTACTTCAAGTGATGCTTCAGTATAAAGATAAACTGAATAGCCAAGTTTTTTTAAATAATATTGTAATAATCATGCATATGATGATTTTTCTGCTTAATTGGTCCAATAAATACAATAATCTTTGTAATCTTTTTTGATGATAGAATAAAATAACTAAAAAAAAATAATAAGAAAAATAAAATCAATGCTATAATAACTTTAATTAAAAGTAATTGGATCATTTTTATTTTATATACAAAAAAAACTATTCAGTTATAAACTAAATAGATAATTTAATTTTTATAAATAAATTATTATTAAACTCTAATTTATTAATTTGTAAAACTTCATAACTATCCAAACTATAATTACAATTATTCACAATCTTATTATAAAATTTTGATATATATTTTAAAGAATTAGTTTTTGTAATATAAAAATCATATTCACCAAAAGTTGGATTACAATCATTATCACAATATATTGCTTAATTAATATGATTATATTTAACATATGTTGCAAAACAATCATTTATTTTTTTATAATTAATTATGAATAAAAAACTATATGTTGTTTTCTTATATTGTGAATTTCCATTTCAATCAAGTGGATTATATTTATCTATAAGAAGAGTTGTATTTTTAATTTTAGTTACTATGATAGTTGGATCTTAATTATCACATTTAGAATGAAATAATTAAGATGTTTATCCATCTAAATAACTATTATATAATAAAGTAAATTTATATTTAAAACTTTTTGATTTATCATCTTTTGTTTTATATATTAATTTTGTTAAAATTAAAGCAATTTCTCGATTAATCAAATCTGATTTAATTGTAAAATTTTTTCATCTGATAAATGATATATCATACTTTAGCTTTCATGTTGTATTTATAAAGTAATATACTATATCTTTAAGTAAATCTTCAGATAAAAGATTATTATCATTCTATACTTTATTCATAAATTTATTAGGAATAAACTGATAAAATCTAATATAATTAATTAATTCAAGTAAACTTTCATCTGACTCATTTTTACTTTACCTAATCAAATATTTCCAAATATCACTTTTTTTCATATCAAGATCATTATGTTGAATAACCAATTTTAAAACATCTTTATCTAAATTAAAAAATTTTTTATGATCAAAGAAAATTTTGGTTTCTCGCAAATAGTTTCAAATAAACTTTTTCTAAGTTTAATAAATATTAACTTAGTATTAATAAAATTCAATATTTTACATGATTGTATTTCTAATAAATTGCTATTAATTAAATAATCTTGTATAAAATCAATAAGTTCTTCAATTGACAACTCATCAACAGCAACTAAGAGTTTCAAAATCATATCAATATC